TATATATATAATATATATATATTTTATAAAATATATACACACACACACACACACACACACACACACACACACACACACACACAAAACACACACACACACACACACACACACACACACACACACACACACACACACACACACACACACACATATATATTTTTTTTCAACAAGCTGGCCGTCTCCCACCAAGGCAGGGTGACCCAAAGAGAAAGAAAATCCCCAAATACTTTCATCATCATTGAACACTTTCACCTCACACATAATCACTATTTTTGCAGAGGTGCCCAGAATACAACAGTTTAGAAGTATATACATATAAAAATACACAATGTCTCTCTCCAAACTGCCAATATCCCAAACCCCTCCTTTAGAGTGCAGGCATTGTACTTCCCATTTCCAGGACTCAAGTCCGGTTATATAAAATACAGTGGACCCTCGCCTAACGATGGCATCGCATAACGTTAAATCCGCCTAGCGATACATTTTAACACAAAAATTTTGCCTCGCCTAGTGCTAAAAAACTCGCTCAACGCGATTCGTCAGAGACGCGTCCACGTGCGGCCTGAGCCAGCCTCACTTGTTCCGTGGGTGGCAGTGTTTACAAGCCAGCCTCAGCGGTCACATCCAAGCATACAATCGGAACATTTCATATTATCACAGTGTTTTTAGTGATTTCACCTGCAAAATAAGTGACCATGGGCCCCAAGAAAGCTTCTAGTGCCAACCCTGTGGTAAAAAGGGTGAGAAATACTATCGTACCACAGTCAGCTGCTTCTGCACCACCATCAGCTGTTGCTGGACCAGTCAGCTGTTGCTGCACCACAGCTGCTGCTGCACCTTGGTCAGCTGTTGCTGCTGCATCACAGCTGCTTCTGCATCATAGCTGCTGCTGCACCATGGTCAGCTGTTGCTGCACCACGGTCAGCTGTTGCTGCACCACAGTCAGCTGTTGCTGCACCACCATCAGCTGTATTACTTGAAGATGTGGAGAGTGTGTTGTTGGTATGGCTTAACATGAAACAATTACCGAGAAGCGATTAACCCCAGAGGGTTAGCCACCCAGGATAACCCAAGAAAGTCAGTCCATCATCGAGGACTGTAACTTATTTCCATTGGGGTCCTTAATCTTGTCCCCCAGGATGCGACCCACAACAGTTGACTAACACCCAGGTGAATAGGAAAAAATGCCTGGAACTAGTGCTCATATTGGTGAGGTTAGTGGGGAGGATGTGGAAGAGTTGGTGGAGGAGGACAATGACGAACTAACCACTGATGAGCTGCTAGATCATCTTCAACAGCAAGAGGCCAGACCTGAGGAAGCTGCTTTGGAGGAGGGGAGAGAGAAATTGAAGAAGTTGCCTACTTCAAAGATCAAGGAAATATGTGCAATGTGGCTTGAAGTGCAAACCTTTTTTGATGAAAATCACCCTGACACAGACAGCTATTGCAAGCCATGCTGGTGACTATTACACTAACAATGTTGTGAACCACTATAGGAAAATCATAAAGGAACGAGAGGTACAGGCCTCTATGGACAGATATATTGTGCGACAGAGGTCCAGTGACTCAAGCTGGTCCTAGTGGCATTAAAAGAAGGGAAGTAACCCCAGAAAAGGACTTGACACCTCAAGTCCTAATGGAAGGGGATTCCCCTTCTAAACACTAAGACCATCCACACTCTCCCCTCCTCCCATCCCATCAGTCATCACCAGATCTTCAATAAAGGTAAGTGTCATGTATTGTACATCTCTTCTTCAGTTTGTGTGTATTAAAATTAATATTTCATGTGGTAAAATTGTTTTTTTTCATACTTTGGGTGTCTTGCTCAAATTAATTTGATTTCCATTATTTCTTATGGGGAAAATTAATTCGCCTAACGATAATTTCGCCTAACGTTGAGCTCTCAGGAACGGATTAATATCGTTAGGCGAGGGTCCACTGTATATCATAATAGAAATTCAGTATGGATGTTAAATAATCCATAGAGTTATTTCTGAAATGCATTTCTTTGCAATTCTGTTACTTTTATGATATACTGTATATCAGAATATTAATATGTACATTTTTGGCAAGACAGTGGTGGAATGAATGATGGTGAAAGTTTTTTTTTTTTTTTTTTTTTGGGGGGGGGGTCTACCTTGGTGGGAGATGGCCAGTTTCATTAAAAAAATAATACTTAATGAATTACTAATTATTTAGATATCTTAGAGAGTATGTATCTGCATGGAAGTCTATGAAAGACACTATTAGGAAAAGAAGGTGGCTGTACCATTGAGGCATCATTCAGAAGAAAGAAGCTTATCAGTGGATTCAGAAATGGGAAATATTATTATCACACTGGCCGATTCCCACCAAGGCAGGGTGGCCCGAAAAAGAAAAACTTTCACCATCATTCACTCCATCACTGTCTTGCCAGAAGGGTGCTTTACACTACAGTTTTTAAACTGCAACATTAACACCCCTCCTTTCAGAGTGCAGGCACTGTACTTCCCATCTCCAGGACTCAAGTCCGGCCTGCCGGTTTCCCTGAATCCCTTCATAAATGTTACTTTGCTCACACTCCAACAGCACGTCAAGTATTAAAAACCATTTGTCTCCATTCACTCCTATTCAAACACGCTCACGCAGTGCCTGCTGGAAGTCCAAGCCCCTCGCACACACAAAACCTCCTTTACCCCCTCCTCCAACCCTTTCCTAGGCCGACCCCTACACCCGCCTTCCTTCCACTACAGACTGATACACTCTTGAAGTTATTCTGTTTTGCTCCATTCTCTTCTACATGTCCGAACCACCTCAACAACCCTTCCTCAGCCCTCTGGACAACAGTTTTGGTAATCCCGCACCTCCTCCTAACTTCCAAACTACGAATTCTCTGCATTATATTCCACAACCACACATTGCCCTCAGACATGACATCTCCACTGCCTCCAGCCTTCTCCTCGCTGCTAACATTCATCACCCATGCTTCACACCCATATAAGAGCGTTGGTAAAACTATACTCTCATACATTCCCTCTTTGCCTCCAAGGACAAAGTTCTCTGTCTCCACAGACTCCTAAGTGCACCACTCACTCTTTTTCCCTCATCAATTCTATGATTCACCTCATCTTTCATAGACCCATCCGCTGACACGTCCACTCCCAAATATCTGAATACGTCACCTCCTCCATACTCTCTCCCTCCAATCTGATATTCAATCTTTCATCACCTAATCTTTTTGTTATCCTCATAACCTTACTCTTTCCTGTATTCACCTTTAATTTTCTTCTTTTGCACACCCTACCAAATTCATCCACCATCTCTGCAGCTTCTCTTCAGATCTCCCAAGAGCACAGTGTCATCAGCAAAGAGCAGCTGTGACAACTCCCACCCTGTGTGTGATTCTTTATCTTTTAACTCCACGCCTCTTGCCAAGACCCTCGCATTTACTTCTCTTACAACCCCATCTATAAATATATTAAACAACCACGGTGACATCACACATCCTTGTCTAAGGCCTACTTTTACTGGGAAAAAATTTCCCTCTTTTCTACATACTCTAACTTGAGCCTCACTATCCTCGTAAAAACTCTTCACTGCTTTCAGTAACCTACCTCCTACACCATACACTTGCAACATCTGCCACATTGCCCCCCTATCCACCCTGTCATACGCCTTTCCAAATCCATAAATGCCACAAAGACCTCTTTAGCCTTATCTAAATACTGTTCACTTATATGTTTCACTGTAAACACCTGGCCCCCAACACCCCCCTACCTTTCCTAAAGCCTCCTTGTTCATCTGTATCCTATTCTCCGCTTACTCTTAATTCTTTCAATTATAACTCTACCATACACTTTACCAGGTACACTCAACAGACTTATCCCCCTATAATTTTTGCACTCTCTTTTATCCCCTTTGCCTTTATAAAAAGGAACTATGCATGCTCTCTGCCAATCCCTAGGTACCTTCCCCCTCTTCCATACATTTATTAAATAATTGCAACCAACCACTCCAAAACTATATCCTCACCTGCTTTTAACATTTTCTATCTTTATCCCATCAATCCCGGCTGCCTTACCCCCTTTCATTTTACCTACTGCCTCACGAACTTCCCCCACACTCACAACTGGCTCTTCCTCACTCCTACAAGATGTTATTCCTCCTTGCCCTATACACGAAATCACAGCTTCCCTATCTTCATCAACATTTAACAATTCCTCAAAATATTCCCTCCATCTTCCCAATACCTCTAACTCTCCATTTAATAACTCTCCTCTCCTATTTTTAACTGACAAATGGGAAATATATCTGATTATATTAATGTCAACACTGTATTGGTTTGAGGCATTGTCTTTGATTGTTGCAGAGAGGTGGAGGTTAGAAGTAGTGCACATGTTGAATATTATGCAGATAATGAGGAATGGTAAAGAAATTAGAAGATTGCCTGGTGGTATTTTAGGCATAATTAAGAAAGAGGAAAGGGAGGGAAGGGGCAGTAGTGTTTAAATAGTTTAGTCAGTTAGGAAAAATGAAAAAAAGAATACATAACCAGGGGGGGGGGTGTATAAATCGGGGATGGGTGAAAGACATAAGGGATATCTCAGGAAGAAGTAGAGGTAGGACTTGAAGGAGCTTTTGAATGGTATAAGTTTTGAGCATCCAGAAGGCATGTATGAGTGAGTAACATCAGACTGAGTAAAGACAAATGATTTTGTGACTAGACATGTTGTTGGAGTGCAAGCAAGTTAATGTCCATGAAAGGATTCATGGAGATTGGTTTGTCAGATAGATTTGAGTTCTGGTGGTGAGAAGTACTGTCCAGTGCCTACATTTTGAAGGATGAGTAGCAATGCTGTGATTAACACAATCACTTAAACTGTGATGTCCATGCACTTCTGGGAAGACAGTTAAGAATGAATGATGCTCAATGTATTTTTGTTCTTTAGATCACCCTGCATTAGTAAGTAATAACCAGGGTGTTATTTTTTTTATTCTACCACCACCACCACCACTGCTGCTGCTGCTACTACTATACTATTATTATAAAGCTAAATTTTATTAGTATATCTATAATTGTCTGCTACAAGCTTTTGTGTGTTGTGATTATTTCTTTAGAATTTTTTCATAAAACTAAAAAGAAAAATTCCATTTTGCTTAGGGATAAGACTGGACAATACGAATATGAAATGGCCTTTGATATTAACATGAAGGATGTAACTGGACAGAGTGCATTATACCTAGCCTGTTATGTTGGCAATCAAAAGCTTGTTGATCTTCTAATCAAACACAAAGTGCAAGGAGTGAAAGTCAAGGTCAGTATTAACTAGTTGTTAAAAATTTATTGATGCAAATTTGGTAAGTAAATGAAATATATATTTACTCTACATTTATTATGAATTCAAAATAAAATTAACAGAATAGTGAGCAGTATGATAGATGAATTTTATTCCACTGTACTGTAGCTGAATATTTATTATTGTACTGTAGATGAATACTGTTTATAATGTGTACTCTAGTGTATGTTTATCATCTGTACTGTAGTTGTATATTTATTGTCTATTGTAGTTATATATTTTTCATCTATACTCTAGCTGGATATTTATCAGATGTACTATAGTTGTATATTTATCTACTTGACTGTTATGAGTAAAAGCATGAACAACCTATTATTTTAATATTGGAAATCCATAATAAATTGAGAAATTGCTTTAAAGTAGACTTTGTAAATGGCATTTCCTCCTCTTTGCTGCATCAAACCATCAAGTGTGTGTGTAGAATTAGCAATTACACCTCTTAAGTTGTACACCAGAGAGAGAAAGTTATATTTTGCTAGTTATTTAACAGTAGGTACCCTTCAGGGAAGGTTCATTGATGCTAGTGAATAGCTCTGCATCCATGGAATTGGACCTAACCTTTCCTTTCTTGAATTGAACCAGATACCTCTTCATTCTCTCAGGTGCAGTATGAACCCCTACAGGTCTAGCACTGCTCCCATAAATGTAATAGCAATAATAATCAACAAAGTATAAACTCAGATACTTTGAAAAATGAGAGAACCTCTTCAGACCTATTCATGAGATTAATATTGGCACTCTTGATGGGTCTTATTTTGCACTAGTGATTTAGGCCATTGTTAATATACAGTATTAACTACTGAAGGTTTAAATTTTCATTATTAGAATCAGTTGTTATTGACAGAGTCATACATGCCATTTCATACATAATATTTTTTTTTTTAAACACACTGGCTAGCTCTCACCAAGGTAGAATGACAAAAAAAAAAAAAAAAAAAAAAAAAAAAAAAAAGCATTCAGCATCATTTCTTCAATAACTGTCTTGCTAGAAGTGTGCTGACATCACAGTTTAAATGACCCTGCAGACTGCATTAGTTTCAAATCATTAATCTGCAAATAAACTTTCAGATGCTTTAATAACATGTTTACATATAATGTATAATTTAGCTTTTCTATATACATCTGAAATTAAAATAGCTCCTGGCAGTTACCTTTTGTAGCTATAAATAGATAATTTATTTGATTTTAAACTTTAGTGTGAATATGGTAATTTGTCTCTTGGTATGATAACTGTATAGTGATAACACTATAAATATGCAGATGTACCCTTCTTTATGTGATAAATGTTCCTGGCCCATGGTGCATAAAGTGGAGTCTTTAACCCTTTGACTGTCGCGGCCGTATATATACGTCTTACGAGGTACTGTGTTTGACGTATATATACTCATAAATTCTAGCGGCTTCATGTCAAGCAGGAGAAAGCTGGTAGGCCCACATGTGAGAGAATGGGTCTGTGTGGTCAGTGTGCACCATATAAAAAAAATCCTGGAGCACGCAGTGCATAATGAGAAAAAAAAACTCCGACCGTTTTTTTTAATTAAAATGCCGACTTTGTGGTCTATTTTCGTATAGTATTTATGGTTGTATTCTCATTTTCTTAGTCTCATTTGATAGAATGGAAAACACATTATAGAAATAGAGGTGATTTTGATTGATTTTACTATAAAAAGAACCTGGAAATGGAGCTCAAAGTAGGGGAAATGTTTGATTTTTGCCAATATTCAAAAGTAAACAAATAATGTCATTGTCCAATAAATGTTCAACTAGCCATTCTAATATGCAGTCATGAATGGGTTGATGTTATTTATACAATTATTACAGTATTGCAGTAGTCTGCATAATAGTAAGTCTCCTATTTTTTGTTTGAATAAAAATTCAAAATAGAAAGCAAGAGTAATATCAGAGGGGCCTGGAGACATGACTGATGAACAAAGAAAATGTCATTTTAGAGCCAGGAATGTCTGCATTGTTCATTCTGGACCTTATTTTGAAATTGTCATATTTTTTAAATTTTTTTGAAATTGGCCAAATTGCAAATTTCTGACCACATTATTGGGTAGTTCAAATCGGTAAATGGGCAGTTTCTTGTAATCAATCAATAGAAAAAATGGAGTTCTAAAGAAATAGCTATGAGTTTGGTCGACTGGAACAACGGAATTAGCCGAAAATAGGGCTCAAAGTGAGCGAAATCACCGATTTGTAAATATCGCCGAGGTCGCTAACTTCGCGTGAGCATAATTCCGTCAGTTTTCCATCAAATTTCATTTTTTTGGTGTCATTACAATCGGGAAAAGATTCTCTTATCATTTCATAAGAAAAAAATATTTTTTTTTTTTTTTTTTTTTTTAAATTTTGCGACACCAGGAGACACCTCAGGATTGGGGGTTGCGACAGTCAAGGGGTTAATAGCTAAACCAATATAACATGTTGATGAGCAAGACACATGTGCAACACCTGGATATCTTTATTGAGAGACATTTTGCCTGCACAACATTTTGTTTTAATTAATCTAGAGGCATGAGGATGGCAATGTTTATATTGAAGTGGGTGGAAGAGGAGAGGTGGAACAGCAGCTGAGGACATCTTATATCATTAGATACTTATCTGACACAGCGACACAATGGATTCTTAGTGCAGAGAATCTCCTCTTGAATGCCATTGTTAATCTCTGACCCACCTTGTAGGCCTAACCTACTTCCACTAGTGAACCCTGCCAATTATCCTTTTGTGTGATACAAGGACAAGTAAAGCTTTGATGAAGGTTATTCAGTATGTTGCAGACTAGGTTGATTGTTCTACAATACGTACACCTTTCTGCTAGGATGTTAATCTGTACAAGTAGATTTTGCAAGGCTTTTAAGTTCTTTTCTTAGTAATTTTCAATGTAACTTCTGTGTATATATTAATTCTTTAATTTTTTCCAGACTAAAGAAGAACAAGAAAAAGAAAGACATGAAAAGGAACAGGACACCAGTAGTAATGATTCAAAATCTAGCAGTAGAGAAAATACCAAAACAAGCATTAACTCAAATGCAGAACTAGTAGAGAAGAGTGATGATGTTGCCAGTCCAACTAAACACAGAATTTCTGGTGGCATTCAGGCTCTAATGTCAAAGTTAAACCTTGTCAGAACAGATAGCAACCAAAAGGATAACATGATTTCACCACTGGACATTGATATGTATTGCAATAGTAACACAGGTAAGATAAACACTTACTCTTATATTTTCTTGCTAAGTAATTACACTCTTATTGTTCTGAAGCCCTTAGGAATATACAATATGGTCCCCATAAGTCAAGGAAGAGGATTGATCTGTGTGGTCACTCCTCCACTTCGTAGCCAAAGCCAACAGGCTTAACCTAACTGGCCTAGCATTTCACACTTCATCCATTCTTCTTGAAATCCACCAGCTGTATCCCACCAAGGCAGGGTGACCAGAAAAAAAAGAAAGAAAAGTTTTCCTCCTTTTTCGTTTCAACAAGTCGGCCATCTCCCACCTTGGCAGGGTGACCCAAAAAGAAAGAAAAAATCCCCAAAATGAAAACACAGTGGACCCCCACCTTACGATATTAATCCATTCCCGAGAGCTCATCTTAAGCCGAAATTATTGTTAGCTGAATTAATTTTCCCCATAAGAAATAATGGAAATCAAATTAATCCGTTCCTGACACCCCAAAGTATGAAAAAAAAAAATTTTTTACCACATGAAATATTAATTTTAATACACACAAACTGAAGAAGACCTGCACAATTACTACTCTACTAAGAATAGAATACATGACACTTACCTTTATTGAAGATCTGGTAATGATTGATGGGAAGGGAGGAGGGGAGAGTGTGGAAGTTATTGTTTAGAAGGGGAATCCCCTTCCATTAGGACTTGCGGTAGCAAGTCCTTTTCTGGGGTTACATCCCTTCTTCTTTTAATGCCACTAGAACCAGCTTGAGAGTCACTGGACCTCTGTCGCACAACAAATATGTCCATAGAGCTCTGTACCCTCCCGTTCCTTTAAGACTTTCCTAAAATGGGCCATAACTTTGTCATTGTACAGGTTGCCAACACGGCTTGCAGTAGCTGTGTCAGGGTGATTTTCATCCGTAAAGGTTTGCAGTTCAATCCCACTTTGCACACATTTCCTTAATCTCTTTTTTCAATTCCATACTAATTCTTGCCCCTTTTTACCACAGGGATGGCACTAGAAGCTTTCTTGGGGTCCATGGTGACTTATTTTGCAGTTACAAGCACTAAAAACACTGGGATAATGTGAAATGTACCGAATGTATGTGTAGATGCGACCACACTGGCTGGCTTGTAAACACTGGCGCTGAGGCCACACGTGGGACGTGTCCCGGACGAATCACATAAGGCGAGTTTTTTATCGTGAGGCGAGGCAAAATTTTTGCGTTTAAATGCTTCATATGGCGGATTTAACGTAATGTGATGCGTTCGTAAGGCCGGGGTCCACAGTACTTTCATCAGCATTCAACAGTTTCACCTCACTCATACATAATCACTGTTTTTGCAGAGGCACCCAGATACAACAGTTTAGAAGCATATATAAAGATACAGTATAATTTATACAGGAGAGAGGGTTACCAACCCCTTGCTCATTGCATTTTAGTCTCTTCTTACAACATACATGGCTTACACACTTTCCCATAAGAACATAAGAAAGAAGGAACACTGCAACAGGCCTATTGGCCCATGTGAGGCAGGTCCAAGTCACCTCTCAGCTTAAACCAATGACCCACCTAGTCAGGTCAGGTCACATCCACTTAAGGAAGGAGCACGTCATCAGACCTATTAACACAAGCTAGTCAGGTTCCACTCACACCCACCCACACCCATTCTTGTTTTTATCCAACCTCTTCTTTAAACTACACAATGACTTAGCTTTTATGACAGTACTAGGGAGTTTGTTTCACTTATCCACAGCTCTATTGCCAAATCAGTGCTTTCCTATAACCTTCCTGGATCTGAATTTTTCCAACTTAAAACCATTGCTGCGAGTCCAGTCTTGGCTAGATACTTTTAACACGCTATTTACATTGCCTTTATTTATTCCTGTTTTCCATTTATAAACCTGAATCATTTTTTTTTTTTTTTTTTTTTTTTTCAACAAGTCGGCCGTCTCCCACCGAGGCAGGGTGACCCAAAAAAGAAAGAAAATCCCCAAAAAGAAAATACTTTCATCATCATTCAACACTTTCACCACACTCGCACATTATCACTGTTTTTGCAGAGGTGCTCAGAATACAACAGTCTAGAAGCATAAACATATAAAGATACACAACATATCCCTCCAAACTGCCAATATCCCAAACCCCTCCTTTAAAGTAAACCTGAATCATATACGCCTTAATTCTGCACCTTTCTAGGGAGTGCAGATTCAGAGCCCTCTCTCTGTCCTCATAGGGAAGATTTCTGATACATGGGATCAACTTTGTCATCCTCCTTTGTACATTTTCCAGTGCATTTATATCCATTCTGTAATACAGTGACCAGAACTGTGCAGCATAATCTAAATAATAATAATAATAATAATAATAATAATAATATCTTTATTTACTACAAGTACATGTCCATGATTGTGGATGCTATGAATGAGAAGAAGCTGGATGCTCTGGCTTTAAGTGAAACAAAGCTGAAGGGCATGGGAGAGCTTCAGTGGAGAGAAGTAAATGGATTAGGTCATGGGTTTCAAATAGAGTTAGAGCTAAAGAAGGAGTAGCAATAATGTTGAAGGATAAGCTATGGCAGGAAAAGAGGGAGTATAAATGTATTAATTCAAGGATTATGTGGAATAAAATAAAGGTTGGATGTGAAAAGTGGGTCATAGTAAGCATATATGCACCTAGAGAAGAGAGAAGTGTAGAGGAGAGAGAGAGGTTTTGGGAGTTGAGTGGGTATGTGGGGAGTTTTGAACCAAGTGTGAGAGTACTTGTGGTTGGGGATGTCAATGCTAAAGTGGGTAAAAATGTTGTGGAGGGAGTAATAGGTAAATTTGGGGTGCCAGGGGTAAATGAAAATGGGGAGCCTTTAATTGAGCTAATTGTGGAAAGAAGTTTGGTAATGAGTAATACATATTTTATGAAAAAGAGGATAAATAAATATACAAGGTATGATATAGCATGTAATGAAAGTAATTTGTTAGATTATGTATTGATGGATAAAAGGTTGATGGGTAGGCTTCAGGATGTACATGTTTATAGAGGGGCAACTTATATATCGGATCATTATTTAGTTGTAGCTACAGTTAGAGTAAAAGGTAGATGGGACAAAAGGAAAATGGCAACAACAAGTAAGAGAGAGGTGAAAATGTATAAACTAAGGGAGGGAGAAGTTCAGGTGAGATATAAGCAACTATTGGCAGAAAGGTGGGCTAGTGCAAGTATGAGTAGTGGGGGGTTGAAGGGGGTTGGAATAATTTTAAAAATGCAATATTAGAATGTGGGGCAAAAGTTTGTGGCTATAGGATGGTGGGTGCAGGAGAAAGGAGGAGTGATTGGTGGAATGATGAAGTAAAAGGTGTGATAAAAGAGAAAAAAGGCAGCTTATATGAGAGGTTTTTAACAAAGCAGAAGTGTTTTAAGAGCAGAGTATATGGAGAGTAAAAGAAAGGTGAAGAGAGTGGTGAGAGAGTGTAAAAGGAGAGCAGATGATGGAATGGGAGAGGCATGTCAGAAATTGTGGTTTGAAAATAAAAAAATTTTTTTTGGGAGTGAATAAACAATTGTGGAGGGGACCTGAATGCTAAAGTAGGAGAAACTTTTAGAGGGGGTGTGGTGGGTAAGTTTGGAGTGGCCAGGTGTAAATGATAATGGGAGCCCTTTTTATTGAACTTTGTATAGAAAGGGGTTTAGTTATAAGGGAATACATATTTTAAGAAAAAGAGGATAAATAAGTATACAAGATATGATGTAGGGGGAAATGACAGTAGTTTGTTGGATTATGTATTGGTAGATAAAAGACTGTTGAGTAGACTTCAGGATGTACATGTTTAAAAGAGGGGCCACAGATATATCAATCACTTTCTAGTTTGTACTTTCACTGAGAGTAAAAGGTAAGGGATACAAGGAGAATAGAAGCATCAGGGAAGAGAGAGGTGAAAGGGTTTTTAAACTAAAAGAGGAGGCAGTTAGGGTAAGATGTAAACAGCTATTGGAGGATAGATGGCTAATGAGAGCATAGGCAATGGGGTCGAAGAGGTATGGGTGGTTTAAAAAATGTAGTGTTAGAGTGTTCAGGGAGAAGTTTTTGGTTACAGGAAAGTGGTGCGGGAGGGAAGAGGGGCGATTGGTGAATGATGATGTAAAGAGAGTAGTAAGGGAGAAAAAGTTAGCATATGAGAAGTTTTTACAAAGTAGAAGTGATGCAAGGAGGGAAGAATATATGGAGAAAAAGAGAGAGGTTAAGAGAGTGGTGAAGCAATGTAAAAAGAGAGCAAATGAGAGAGTGGGTGAGATGTTATCAACAAATTTTGTTGAAAATAAGAAAAAGTTTTGGAGTGAGATTAACAAGTTAAGGAAGCCTAGAGAACAAATGGATTTGTCAGTTAAAAATAGGAGAGGAGAGTTATTAAATGGAGAGTTAGAGGTATTGGGAAGATGGAGGGAATATTTTGAGGAATTGTTAAATGTTGATGAAGATAGGGAAGCTGTGATTTCGTGTATAGGGCAAGGAGGAATACATCTTGTAGGAGTGAGGAAGAGCCAGTTGTGAGTGTGGGGGAAGTTCGTGAGGCAGTAGGTAAAATGAAAGGGGGTAAGGCAGCCGGGATTGATGGGATAAAGATAGAAATGTTAAAAGCAGGTGGGGATATAGTTTTGGAGTGGTTGGTGCAATTATTTAATAAATGTATGGAAGAGGGTAAGGTACCTAGGGATTGGCAGAGAGCATGCATAGTTCCTTTGTATAAAGGCAAAGGGGACAAAAGAGAGTGCAAAAATTATAGGGGATAAGTCTGTTGAGTATACCTGGTAAAGTGTATGGTAGAGTTATTATTGAAAGAATTAAGAGTAAGATGGAGAATAGGATAGCAGATGAACAAGGAGGCTTTAGGAAAGGTAGGGGGTGTGTGGACCAGGTGTTCACAGTGAAACATGTAAGTGAACAGTATTTAGATAAGGCTAAAGAGGTCTTTGTGGCATTTATGGATTTGGAAAAAACATATGACAGGGGGGATAGGGGGGCAATTGGTGGCAGATGTTGCAGGTGTATGGTGTAGGAGGTAGGTTACTGAAAGCAGTGAAGAGTTTTTAACGAGGATAGCGAGGCTCAAGTTAGAGTATGTAGGAAAGAGGGAAATTATTTCCCAGTAAAAGTAGGCCTTAG